ACTGAATAAACACCAAAAAGTATGGATACAAGATAAATTAGATGGTCTCTACTCTCCAGGGAGGCCATAGTCACAAAGCAATGTAACAAGTGCTTTTATGGAGATATAACCCAAGGTTCCAAGGGAAGAGAGTTCTGCCTAGCTCAACTGAAAATGGTGGCAATTCCATGTGCAAAGGTATAGAAATATAAAAAACATTTTTCCTCTCAGGGAATATCAAGCAATTTAAGTAGGACTAGAACGCAGGGTTCACAGTGAAAGGAATGGAAAGTGATTTAAGAGATGAAGAATGAAGCTGGAGCTAGATAAAGGAAAATCTTATCAGTCATTAAAAAAATAAAAACATTGCTAGGATTTCAGCAGGAAAGTGGTAAGATCAAATATGCTAACAATAGTGGTTATGATATTTTTTAAACAACAGATTCCTCTCAAGTGAAATCCTATGCAAACTTCCATACTTAAAATTAATCAAAGTAAAAATGCACTGGTTGCAACTGGTATGAAACTGCTTGAATTCTTCCAGAATGCTTTGCAGAACACAGTTTCAAAACCACTGTTTTCAAAAGAAAAATTAATACCTCTACACAAATGTGTTTTACTTACTTCATGCTTCTCTTGACATGACTCAGGTGCAAGAACTCATTCTAGTAGTTTTTCATCAATTATAGAATTAGTCATATATAGAACTAAGCATACAGTACTAGGTCTTCAAAATTAATGACAAATATTTGTAATACAGAAAAAGGAATATAAAGGTTAACCATCAGTTTTTGCACTCTTGAGTTAAAACTATAATTTAAATAATCACATCTAACCTAAATTCAGGATTAATGGTTGGACAAATACTAGTGTATTTATGGCCACAGAATATTCAAAACTGGTATGGTGCTGGAAGATATAGAATATAACTGGTATAATGTTCTTTTTTCTAAGACAGATAAACTTCAATTTTCTTAACAATGACTTTTTGTCTAAAAATCTTTCCCCCACCTATAACTGTGGCATCTGTTCTCCTACCTTATAAAATTTGGAATTCTAAATGTGATCACTAAAAATGATCATCAGTGTGAAAACTGCTTATCTTCCTTATAATTATCTAGTATTTCTAAGCAATTGACATGTAAAGCTGATTTAAGATACATATATGACTCCCCTGGTAATGCACAACTCTTGACTCTTTATAGTGAGGACTAAAAAGTAAGACTATAATCCTAGAGAAAAGGTAGATAATGATTAATTTAATGTTTTATAACAAACCTATTATACTTACTTTATACAATCTAAACTAATCCCTACAACTTTTTTCTCTACCCTTACCCTCCTCCTTGCTAGAACTAACATTTGCAGGGAACATAAACAGGCTCAAGAATTTTTAAAGTGTCATTTGCCTTGTAAGTAGCAGATTGAAAACAAATGTTCAAAACAACGTTTAAATACATATTAAGAGTTACAGAACTATCTCAGATAGTTGGCATTTCTTTTCTCTATCAGATAAAACACTAGAAAACAACCACCACCCTGGACCTATTATGCATTAAAAGTTCTCTCATATCATGTGATATTATTAAAAGGAAAATGAGGAGAGAGAAGCATAGGATACAAATTAAATCTTTCAATATATCATTTGATCCACATATACAATATGTTAACTTATAGGCATATTTAAGAAATGGTCCTTAATAGAAACAATATAAATGTCATTATAAGAAAAATGCCATTTCCATATAACATTTACTCAGTCTACTACTTAGCTTTCAATGGATCATTTCTGGGCACACTTTGGATTCCCTGTATTTGCAAAAACTAGCAAATGATTCCACTATACATTTGTTTGGGATAAAGATAACTCTACATTATAGTAAAAAATGAATTACATCACACATTCCAACTAAATTAGACATTTTAAGCAAACAGCTTAATAAATTACTCATTTCCACTTCTTTTCAAACAGAAAAAGTCTGAGGACTACCATATAATTATTAGGAACAAAATGACCTTTTTCATTTATAGACGTTTCTGTTTATGAATCATAATAAAAACATACTTAAAAGCAATTCCACAGAAACAAATAAAAAATTCTCACACGTAAAATAAAAATAATCAAAACAACATCAATATCACACTTTTAACTAATTCATTCAATTATTAGGTTTTATAGTAAAATTTTCATCTTGTTAACATAAGGGAAAGTTTCTTAGGTCCTTTTGAAAAATATTCCACAAATAGAGTTTTTTTAAGTAGGTTCTGTACACCTACTACATTGATTTTAACAACACATCAAATAAAGCTAACTTAGAAGAAATGCTAATAGAAATATTAAATTATACATACTATGCTTAATTGTCCCCACGGGAATACAAAAATGTTCATAAATCATCTTAAGATAAATTTGTATTTTCCCCTAGTTTGTGAAAATTGCAATAACTTCTGATCAAACTACATTTAATAATTCAAATTCAAAATCTCCCATAGGGAACAGCTGGGAGAAAATAAAGAGGACAGTTTTAATAAATGAACTTTTCTATTGATGCTACAGGTAAGATAACAACACTTAATATTAGCATGAGTGGAGACTAGAAAATATAAGCATGTAATAGTGAAATAAAACCCTTTAAGGAGAAAGAAGAAAATGCAATTTACAGAGTCACCTAAGACTAAAACTCTAAACTCAGCCTTTCTTATTTTTAAAAACTGTTGCCCACATTTCCACAGATAACAAGTTCTAAACTTTTTAAAATCCCATGTAGTGTACTTACATATATATTAGTATTAGATAATACTTTGCACTTAAGAAATCTAGCAAATATTATTTTGAAACCATAGTTTACATAAAGTATGTTGCACTATTGACTGCATTTTATTAAAAAGAATACTGGAAACAGCAAAATTAAGTGACATTTTGAAAATGACACTAGATTAAATAATGAAATTGTGAACATACACGAGCCTTAACTTCCAAATAAAATTTCTAATCATTACCTCTATCCCCACATATCTTGGCACAAATATTTTTTAAAATACAGCAGTATACTTCCTTTTTTTTTGCATATATTTTAAAATTTTGTGTCCTCATTAATCATAAATCTAATGTAATATACTTTTTACCTCACTATGCTCTGAAATTAGCAATCCTTTAAGAAAGTTCCTTGGTATTAAAAAAAATTGAAAAAATTTCTTTTAATATATCTTCTTTAATCTTCACTTTAACTCTTTGTTCAATTGAAGAACTAAGAGCCTGCACTAAAAAATCAATGGCATCATTCAAGCTGTTCCTTCAATTTTTATAATATTCAACTATGCTAAGAGGAATGAAACTGTACCCAGTATTCCAAAGCTGGGCTCTCCATCCATATTCAGCATTAAAATAATTTCTTGCTTTCTGTCTAATGTGCAAAAACAAAACAAAATACTATTAAGCACTCTAAAAATACTTTTACCACGTACATGCCCACATGCTTAGTTCTTATCCTTCAAATCCCTTCTCTAAGTATAAAATTTCTCTAAAATTGGGGAAAGGCAATCATGTCACTCTTATCCAAGCCAGGTATAAATAATATAAAGTAAACTAAACTTGATTAATTATCCTTAAGAAAGTGTATAGCCACTTTCTCCCTTTCAATCCACATAAAGCTTGAACTAACCCACAAGTTCTACATATATTAACTCAAAATTCCTTTGTTTTTCTATAATACATAACCAAAGCAAAATGATTTCTGAATTAAACTCCCCAAGTACTTCACTCACTCTCTCCTGTGATTCAAATAAATTTGAGTGCACTAACACAAAGGGGAAAAATAGCTCCCTTGAAAGAGTACACAGTCGTTCTTTTATCAAAATAGCATTTTTCACAAGTGACCCAAATAGAATTACAGCTTACAAAAATCAAGCCTTTAATTCTGAAGAATAATTTGCACCTAGAGAAAATTTCAAGGTAACAATTTTTACTGCTTGTGGACTTTAGACCCAATCTACTTATTTTGATTTTGCTTAAGTCTGCGTGTAACTAACTTGTTGGCTTCTGTTACAGGACCACTGTCCTAGTGAGAACATCTGACAACAAAGTGCTTTTGATACTTCAGTAACTAAACTACCTTGGATAAGATTCCTGACAAACTTGACCATAACATTTTACTCAATGGTGAAAAGTATTTTAATTAGGTTTCAATGTACTCCTTATCAGTAGTCCCCAATCTTTTTGGCACCAGGGACCAGTTTCATGGAAGACAATTTTTTCATGGACCAGGAGATGGAGTTAGGGGAGCGAGCTCTGCAACCCTGTCCCTAACAGGCCTCAGACCCTGCTGACTGAGGGTTGGGGACAGCAGCCTTAAATGGTACAGCATAAATCAGATGACAATTTTTCCACTTAGTTAAACCATTAATAGGTCGTGTATAAGTGGGACAACATTGAATATAACTTTGTCCCCAAACACTTTTGGGACAGAGATAATTCAAGGAACACACTGATAACCCTTACATATGCCAAAAATCTGTTCCTAGATTGTTGTATGCTGATTTTTCATAAATCAAATCACATTTGATAAGTACCATATAAAGGGATTATTTGAAAGCAACTTATAGTGAATCCCTTTTGTAAAATTCTCATATAATATAACCAAATACGAATTAATTTACTTTGTAATCTTAAACTTTTAAATGTCAAATTTCTTAAAGTGGAGCACAGCTGCCTTCATAAACTAAAACATTCACCCCAACATTAGTACCCTTCTCCCTGTTTCCCCTCAAGCAAGCTCTAAAAATGTCACCCAAAAAATGAGCTATTCATCTGTGATAGAATATACAAGCAATACTAGAAAAGTTGAAAAATAAATTAAGTGATTTTTAAAAAATGTAAAATAGAAATGTTTGTATAGTATTTCAAAAAAGTCAATGAATTATTTTATTTTTGACAATGATCACAATTAAAGCTCAATAAAATGACTTTAAAAAAAAATCACGATATGGATATCTCAAATTACTTTCCCATGTGTGTTTATCACCTGGAGTAAACTGTCAAGAACTGTTCATTTCCACGAACACACGACCTCCATGAAGCTACCAAGGTCAACAAGACCTACGGGAGGGGGATATGCTGAGTAAGTGCTCATTTGTCCAATTCCAGAGTTCCCTTTAAAAAGAGAAAAGGAAGAAAGAAAAACAAACTTTTATTTATATATTACAGGAAATGATGTTTTCAGGTTGTAACCATTAAGTACCCTATTATAGGATCCTATACAGACATATGTCAACAATGGCCAATCAGAGCAAGATGTAAAAGGGACCTCACATACACAAACCAGGTACTACAAAAGTAGCTGTAGAGAATTAACAAGATCCCAAACTGACTAATCTTTCCCTTCATCTTGTACTGAAAACATTTCCTACCCTGTCTGGCTACATGCCACAAGGACTCAATTTCAAAGTGAAGAGCCTCTGTTAAGAGAACTCTGAAAAGGACAAATAATCAAAGATCCATAACCAATAGAAAAAGCACCCACATATCAGAAACGCTTGGGTTAGGAGCAAGTTTGTACATACTGAGGCTGCCAGTACCACCAAACTCACAGGTTGTTTTCTTATCCTTTACCATTCTGCCATTTCCTCAGCTGTCATGATCCTGCACCTTTCACAAACCAGGACGTTTTCTTGGATGAGATTTAAATTTTAAAACACATTATCCACTTAGTTATGTTTTATCCACTTAGTTATGTTTTATGCTAGACTTATACTCAAAAAATCCCTATCAGTCTGCAATCATTATATTTGAAATTTCCAAACAACTTTCAAATATTAAAAAAGACAATGTCAGAGCTAGAGCCTGATAATTTCAAAGTGAAGAGTTTAACTACGGGTAATTCATTCTAGCATTTGGTAAACAGGTAGCATACACACATACATTGTGATAGTGGAAAATTAAAAAGGAAAGAAATCAGCAAAAGCACTGGTTATTCACAATCAGCACAGTACTGGGCTGGCAACAGTCTTCTAAGTAACTTTCAGGGAAGCTCCAAACTGGTGGGTGGCACTGGGTCAATGCGATTACTTAACCCTGGCAGTTACAACTAAACTCCACTTTGATGGGCTCCAAAGCTTATTACAAAAAGATGACTGCTTGGGCATACCAAGTACTTAGGTGTCCTCCTTCTATTTTTCTCCCATGGAACACGAACCCAGACACCTGAAACTCGTCAGACAAACATTACCTTGTTTTGGGGCTTTGGAGTTTTGTATTTATTATTTTTAAAGTCCACTGGGCATAAATTCATTTTTGTGTGTGTTGTGTGGGCAAGATTAACCTATTTCCTGCATGCACTGGGAAGAACTCATGACAATTCAAGCAGTTCTCTCTCTCCCAAGTAACTTTTTTTATCATTTAGTCCTAAAATAACCATAAGCAACAAACATTAAACACTGGCATGGCAACGTGCACACATCATGCCCTGGTGCTACCCACAGGCGGATTGGTTCATCTCTGGTCCCCATCCAGACCAGTCCCCCGGCTCCGCTCCCTTCCGTCCGGTCCAGCCTGTCTTCACCCGAGTTTTGCCGTGAAATCCGCCACTTTCGCTGGCCCCGGCAAAAGCAAGGCGCCTCGTCTTGAGGGCAGAGTTCCTCGCAACTGCCCCACAAAAATTTCCTGAAACCTTCCCGCGGGACCCCTCGCCCAGTCCCCGCACTTTACCGAGCCCCAAAGAGGGGCCCACCTGCCTCCCGTCGCCTGTCCCCACGCCCGGGTCGCCCTGCCAACTCTTGCCCCAGCGGCCGCACTCCGGGCTCGCGGAGCGGCGCCCACTGCCCTGTTCTAGCCCCCCTCGACTCGGGTGCCCGACCTCGGCGGCCAGGGGCGCTGAAAACGCCCCCCCAACCCCGGGCTGACCCCACGACGCCCCCCAGAGGCCGTGTCCCGAGCGCCTGTCAGCGCCCCCGGAAGGGGGTCAGGCGAGGGGCTGAGCTCCCGGTGTCCTCTCCTCTCCGGACACCCTCTCCTCCCCCCGGCACTCACCTGGCCGGCTCTCGCCCAGGGGCCGGGCGAGGGGGTCGGGGGTCAGGCGAGGAAGCCGCCCGCCCGCCGCGGCCCCCACCCTTCGTCCCGCGCCCCACTCCCGGCCGGCGCGCACCCCGGGCCCGACGCGCGCCTGGAGCGGCGGGGGGAGGGGACGCGGGGACGCGCGAGCGCCGGGGTGAGGGGGGGCGGGGGTAGGGGGCGCGGCGAGAGCAGGGGCTCGGTGGCGTCCGCGGTGAGAAAGCAGCCTCGGCCAGGGCCGTCATGGCGCGCGGCGGCGGCGCGGCTCCCTCCGGTCTCTCCGCTCCCTCGCCTTTAGTTTGACCTTTCCCTCCAATGTGTCTGAGGGAGAACGACTGTGCGCGCGCGTGTGCATGTTTCTCTGTGTGTGTGCGCGCGAGTGCGCGCGCACGCGCGCGGGAAAGGGGCTGGGTTCGCTCCCGACGCCTGACGTCACTGCCATGGCAACGGCAGTCCCCGCCCATCGTTTCCCATTTCCTGTCCCCGCCCACTGTGCACGTTCCGGGGCCTCACGTGCTCACTCGCACGCACGCACGCACACTCGGAGCGCGCGCGCCCTTAGCGCTGGGGGGTTGGGAGGTAATCTGTGCCTCCTCTTCGCTTCCCTTCCCTCGGCTCTCCACCTCCCTGAATTCGACCAATCCAATGTGGAGGAGCCGTGGGCGGGGCGGGCTCGGCTCCCAGGGCAGCGTGAAAAATTTCCCGAGGCAGAGCGAAAACTCTTCCTGAGCGACTGAGCATGTCCGGTGGCCAAAGAGGCGCGTTGGATGCGAGTTAACGGCGAAGGAGACGTTGGGGCAGTTGAGGGAAATTTAGAGGTTATGTGATGTCAAAATGGGACCGCATACTATTAGGCAGCCTTGGAATGGCAGCTAGCCCCGCCACTATCTCGCCGTGTGACCTTGGGCGTGTTACTTAAACACTGAACTGTGTGTCTCCGGTAAAATGGGGTTAGTAAAGTCCTCCACTGTGGTTCCTAAGGACTAAAAGAGAGAACGTGGAAAACGACTCACGTTGCACATGGTAGATCCTAAATACCTAGTTATTATTATGGAGCCCACGTCCTCTATATTTTACAAGTGGGGGGGGGTACAGGACTCAAAGGTATTAACAAATTAAGTGACTCGTTCAAGGTCAGGTAATGGCAGAGACCCGGGCTTCAAGTTCAATAATCATTGTCTATTGCCTTCCTTTAAGGAGGGGGAAATGAAACATGCCAGGAAAACCCTCTCAAAGGGATCAGAAATGCCAGTGATCTGTGGATTGTTTCCTAGTCCCCACTTCCCTGGCCTCCTGGCAAAGGTTTAAAACTCTGGACATAAGGGCTGAAACAGCCTTGACGCAACTTTTAGAACGTGTAACTTTTAGAAATTCGGCGTGTGGATTTTCTCCTGAAAGAGCACCGGAATGGTGCTTTTCTCAATTCCCTTGGGGCCCCTAAATTTCTTCTGAAGGTTTGATTAAAGTGTAAACAGTTCCATATTCTCTAGCTGAGGACACATTGGTGACCTCACCGTTTCCTCAAACTTCAGCTTACAGCCCTTTCCTCTAACTTAGCACTTAAATCATTTATTGCCTCAGTATTTATTAAATGTTGTAGTACTATTTAACTTTAGATTTGCTGTTAATTTTTCAAAATGTATGTGTCTGTCTCCCTGTTATAGCCCTGACCCTATACCTGATCTTGGTAAAGGACAACACCCAGTTCCTCAAACAAGCCCTGAGGTTTCCCACTTACAGGGAATTATTCACTTGACCCTTCCAAGTTTCAGCTTAAATGCAGTCTCTTCTGAAAAGGCTTGCTGGATCTACTCAGTTGGAATAAATTAGTTTGTTTTCAAAGCACTTGGTATATACCTCGCTTTATACACTGTTCCCAGTAGACTTTGTGTTCTGCTATTTATGCATATAATCACCCATGAAAAGCTTCTCTAACATCAATGTATGGGTTGACTGTTACTGAAGTCCAATATTTCACTTATTATCCATTCCTTTATGGCTTCATTTATTTGCCTTCCCCTTCAGACTATAAAAGGCATGAATGGCAGGAACCATGTCTAGTTCCACTTTGCATTTCCAGCCTCTTCCTCAGTACAACGGCATCGCTCAACAACTAGCTACTGTTGGCTGAATGGGCTCCTTGCCTATTTTATAAAGTTCTTAGGGGCAAACTTTACCATGTTTATATTTACATCTCAGAATCAGGGCTTTTCTGGGAAATTAAGAGTTCCCAGTATATCCTGGACTACTCCAAAATGCACCCCAAATTACATAGTCACACTCATACAATTAAAGAAGGCTTTGGCAGCCGCACAAAATACTGAGGAGAAGATGAAGTAGGAAGCCCAGTGAGGAAGAGGTCATAATGTTTTCAACAGCTGCCACTATGGATCTAGGATGACAGAGTTTCAGATATTGTTAAGGATGAGATAATAGACAAATTACTCCAAGGTACATCAGTGATGCTGCTCCTAGAAGAGTGGGAAAATTATGCAAAGAGGAATCTTGAAATCAAACAGTGTTTGCTTACTCTGAACTGGTAGGATCTGTCCCTTTGTGTAATTTGGCACAATAATCTAAAGCCTGGTGGTATTCTTGTATCTACTGTTCTCTTGATATGCTCTTTAACTTTTTACATGTGTGTCTAAATCCTCACCAAACCTAGTCCTCTTATTCCTTGTCATGCTAATGGCACTGCCAGATGTCCCTGAAGTCATTCTCAGCTTATCCCTATCTTTATGCTGTCAGTCTCTGAGTCCCCAAAGTCTTCCTCTTTAGTGGCAGTGGTAGCCATGAACAACTGTTCTCCACCCCTTTGGCTACTGCTTTAGTGTGAGCCCTCCTATCATCTGGACTCTTGCTAAAGCCTTCCAGTTGTTCTTTCTGCCTCATCTTAGTCCTGTCCAGCCTAATTTCCACCACACCCCAGATACTAGAGGGACTGGCACTTACACTGTAAGTTTAGAATGTAACTCTCGAGCATGTAAGTATAAGATGTTTAAAATTTGGAATCTGAAGGATCCAGCTAAGGCTTTTTTGAAGGCTAAAATTGAGAACATTTTTGAATTAGCAACACTGTTCGTTAACAGAGAACTAAGGTAGGTGTCTCTTGGATATAAACGGCAATACTCAAAAAGTTGGTTTTAAAAAAAAGCCATTGTGTGTGTGTTTTAAGTACCTCATTAAGAAGAGAGAAAGAACATTCAGTTCCCATCTTGAGGGACTCTCTTGCTCCAGGATTACTGAGAGACCCCTGGAGTTTGCGTGGGGCTCCCTGGACTGGAGGGCACTTTTCCCTATCAGGGAAGGTCAACATCTTTATCAGAACATAAACTTGTAGGGGGAGGTGGTGAAGTGAGAACACACTACCCAGTTAGACCAGCTCAATCAGTTCTGGTGATGACCATGGCAAACAGCTGCTCTACCCTCATAGCCTGTTAAGACTGATGTGTGGATATTGGGCGTCTGTGTGCACACTATGGGCTGCACAAACGCAGGGAAAGGTATTTGCGTGGGAGACAATGTGAATGACATCCTCTGGGGCTATACAGTGCTCCACCTCCATAAACACATGTAGCAGTCCTAAGTGACATGTAAAAAGGCATGTCTCTGTCTACTTTGGCAATTTAAATGATCATAATTGTACCTTTGATAATACAAATAAATAAGTACTTAATGGAGTACCTACCAATTGTCATCTCAAACACTTAAATTAATTTTAATGTACAAAGTTATATCTAAAGATGTGTGCATATTTCAAAATGGTTATTAGACTGATATTACCACCATTCATTTATTCTAAAAGATAACAATTGAGTATCTGCCTAGTTTCAGGCATGATTCAAAAGTCTGGATTGAACAAATGTATTGAGTACCAACTACAAATCTTAGAAAAGCTATTAACCGATTCCTTCAAAAATACAAGTTTATGGTTTTTCCAATTTATACTTTTTTTCAGTTTTTTGTGCCATTTTATAACATAATATGAAGCTGTTCATATAAAGAGGATTTATTTTTTTATAGATGCTCATCTACTAAAACCTGGAGAAGAGATTTGGTTCATCCATTTCAAACAATCTAATATAGTAGGATGCACCAGTGAATATAAAGCTTTTATGTAATTTTCCTCCTAGTGCTATCGAAAGAGGTGCTAGAAAGTTAAGTTGGCTTCTTTAGGGGCCTCCTGGGAGCACTGGAGAGAACTGCCCTTAGTACAGAGAGCCATAGTTTCATTGTTCAGGAAAGAGAGTATAATCACACTTTGACCCCTGGGGCATTCTGTAGAGGAAAGCTGCTAACATCTGATTTGGATTGTTATATGAGCAAGAAATAACTGAAAATTTATTTGTTGTTGTTGTTATAGCTGCAAGCTTTCTCAGTAGGTTAATTGGAAAACCAAATAATATGACCATATTTGTACCCCAAATTTGTGAAGCTTCTCATACTGGTAACACTAAATTCTTAGTTCTGGAACACTCAAGTGAGCCTCTGCCTCTAGTAGTCTTTTTTGTTTTGTTTTGTTTTTTTGAGACAGAGTCTCACTTTGTTGCCCAGGCTAGAGTGAGTGCCGTGGCGTCAGCCTAGCTCACAGCAACCTCAATCTCCTGGGCTCAAGCAATCCTACTGCCTCAGCCTCCCGAATAGCTGGGACTACAGACATGCGCCACAATGCCCGGCTAATTTTTTGTATATATATTTTTAGTTGGTCAATTAATTTCTTTCTATTTTTAGTAGAGATGGGGTCTCGCTCAGGCTAGTTTTGAACTCCCAACCTGGAGCGATCCGCCTGCCTCGGCCTCCCAGAGTGCTAGGATTACAGGCGTAAGCCACCACGCCCGGCCTCTAGTAGTCTTTACAGGTGACACTTGAACAACATGGGTTTGAACTTCACTTGTCCACTTATACATGGATTTACTGCCGCCTCTGCCACTCCTGAAACAATAAAACCAACCCTTCCTTTTCCTCTTCCTCAGCCTACTCAGTGTGAAGACATGAGGATGAAGACCTTTATGATGATCTATCTGCACTTAATGTATTTTCTCTACCTTGTGATTTTCTTAACATTTTCTTTTCTCTAGCTTACTCAATATTAAGAATACAGTGTTTGATACATATCACATACAGAATATGTGGTGATCAACTGTTTATTTTATCAGTAAGTCTTAGGTCAACAGTAGGTTATTAGTAATTAAATTTTTAGTGAGTCAAAAGTTATGCTTGCTTAGGGTTGGTTTCCTTAACTCCCGTGTTGTTTAAGGGTCAACTGTATCACATGGCTTCCAAGTCTTTGATGGCCTTGCTATGTAGGAGTCACTTGCTGTAAAACTGTTATGTGCAGTTCTAAAAGCTGATGTACTTAGCTAAAATAAAAGGGAGGGCCACCTAGGAAAAACCAAAATGCACATACCTATATAGAGTCACACAAACACACACACACACACACACACACACACACACACACAGGATAGTAGGATTCAGAGTTCCAGACAACCCTCACCATTTTAACTATTATCATTATTAGCATCAACATCTTTCTCACTATTATATTTTAAGTCAAGAAACTTGAAACCTGACATAATAATCTTGACTATTTGCAGCAACCCAGGAAGAATAAATGAGTTGTCGCCAGAAGATGGTGGGCTCTCCTTCATGCATGGTCACCACTCATGAGGCATGTAATGTCATGCCAGGCATCTGTGTTTGCGTGGCCCTCCAGATCCTCCCAATTACTGCAGAGTCCGAGGTGGGATTTCCTCCTGATGTTTTATGTCGTGGGAGTCAGTATGAAAGACTGCAGCATGGCTGAGTGAGCTTTCTGTTCTCCCTGAGGATAGGATGCAGGGTCCACCCCAGCAGGCCACAGTTTTGCCTGGAGGCAAAGCATTCAGTCTTTCTATTGGCCTGACAATTTGAGCCAAGCTCCAGGCCAATAGAATAAATGAGCTAAGAACTAGAGAGGTGAGTTTTGTTAAATTACAATAACATTCATGCTTCCAGGGGAGCTGCAAAAGTCATTCCTGTCAGATGCACTCAAAATCAACATACAAATTACTCCTGCCAAATGCTCTGAGGCTATGGAATAAAGCCTTGCATTATTTTAAATAGTTACTCAAAACCTCTAGTCTCATACCTCAACAATCATCATGGTAATTGTAATCAGTATCCTTGGTAGTGAATGTTAATAATTATTTATGGAGTGACCACCCTGTGCAATGTACTTTGCTAGGTGCTTTATGTATGGCAGATATTTAAGATAACTAACAGCTTTGCAAGGTAGAAGTTATTATAACATCCTACAGATGGGCAAACAGAAATTTAGAGCACATAAGCAACTTGCCCAGTGTCACCACAGTGATGATATCTTTATATTTAAAGAATATTCTTTGGAAAAAAATGACCTAAGTATGTAAGAGCTACTTCCAAGCTCAGAGACATTTTAAACAAGACTTTTATTGGAAAATTGTAAACATATACAGAGAGGTATACTCAAGCAGCTCCTATCAGGAATAATTTGAAAGTAAAGGGTTTTGCGTGATTTCTCCCTTATTTTTCTTGGAGGAGAGCCAAGTCCTTAATAAGAATTTCTGCAAAAGAGGAGCCTGGGGCTGAATCTTATTTATGGAGGCAAAAGATTATTTTTATTTCAGACTCACATTCTTACTCTCTATTTGAATTTGCCAATTAATATTAAAATAGCAAATATTATGAAGACTTAATTTTGAGTTGTCTAATTGTCCTCATCCCTACTGCAAACCCTCAGTTTAGGTTTAAGGCAGGTTTATGCTGAGTCACATAATAGTCTCCTACCTTACTATATAATCCACAGCAACACTGGAGTTGTGCTTCATACTGTGGGGTAGATATAAGTGAATTTATGTTTAGCAAAATAATTGATTCAAAATGGGGTTGATTTAATGGTGTGGTGTAGTGTGCTCATACTGGCTCACAAGAGCTGACTGTGCATGTTTCTTCCTAATTTCACATTTGGTGACATCACATTAGTAGCTTGAAATTGGCCACGGTGGGAGTATTTACACCATGGAAATTGGCAAATGCCACAAATCAGGGCTTTTATTCCCCCACAGAGGCAGTTGTTAAATATTTACAGACACACTACTGGGTAGATTGTATTATTTGCTTAAAAATATCTGCTGTCTTTTACTGTGGGTCTACTCTTCACTGTCCTCACTGTGAGAGAAGTGTGTGTGTGTGTGTGTGTGTGTGTGTGTGTGTATATATATATATATATATATATATTTTATATATATATATATATATTTTTTTTTTTTTTTGAGACAGAGTTTCACTTTGTTGCCCAGGCTAGAGTGAGTGCCATAGTGTCAGCCTAGCTCACAGCAACTTCAAACTCCTGGGCTCGTACAATCCTGCTGCTTCAGCCTCCCGAGTAGCTGGGACTACAGGCGTGTGCCATGCCCGGCTATTTTTTTCTATATATATTAGTTGGCCAATTAATTTCTTTCTATTTATAGTAGAGATGGGGTCTCACTCTTGCTCAGGCTGGTTTCGAACACCTGATCTCGAGCAATCCGCCCGCCTCGGCCTCCCATAGTGCTAGGATTACAGGCATGAGCCACCGTGCCCAGCCTAGAGAAGTATATTTTTTACCCATTGAAGTCAGCCTTGACTATGTGACTTGCTTTGGTCAATAGAATGTGACAATAGAATGTTTCCAAGCAGAAGAACATGTGCTTTTTTTTCCTTTTTCCTCTGCCATGAACTAGCATGTCCCAGATAGTGTCTGCTTCTTTAATCCAAGCCCTAGAATAAAGGGCACGTGAGGCGCCAATAACTTGTCTTTTTGATCCTTAGGTTTTACTCTCCAGAGAATGTTGCAGAATGACAGTCAACTTGTAAAGAACAAGAATATAAGCAAGGAATAAATCTTTCTTATTGTAAAAATTTTAGATATGTTTGTTGTTACCCTGGCATTGCTTAGGCTAAGCTGATTGATGTAGCAGTTGGGACTTGCAAAGATGCTGCCATGTCAGGAAACCTAAATTATGTGGCATTAATTCTGGGGCTTGGGAGTGGGAAGCAAAAAATATGTTATTGGAAAATGGAAAAATGGCAACTCATGTTATCTAGTGGCAATACATTTGGTAAAACTGTCACCTATGATCCCTGGGAAGACATATAATACACTAAATGAGCTACTCGGATGCCTAAATTGCTATGGACTGAACATAATGAAGTACTATAAGAGAGAGTTAAGCTTATGAAAGAATTGTCCACTTTGGGGAGATCAAAGGGAGTAGAAAGGGTCCAGGAATTTGAGGACTCAGATGCCTAGAGGGTATAATTGATTCTGATTTTCAAACAATAAAAGATAAAACTGGGAAAGTCTCTTTCAGTGACAAACACTGATTAAAATTCAGCCTTGTGGCAAAGACCAATTGAAGGTATAGTTCCTCTGTTAAAACCTCTGAATTGATTGATTAAGGGGGCACCAATTAAATACTTTCAGTTGTACAAAATAGCTTCAGGAAAAGAGATTAGAAGTGTAGTTGTCCCACTGAAGCCAGATTAATTCAAGTTACCTGCAATTAAGTCTAAAAGGAAAGTCATAACTAGAAAAGGATTATAGATGTGGCCATTGGCACATGAGTTTGTTTGGAATCAAATATAAGATAAGAATGTGAGAAAGTTATATTGCCAAAAGAGTCACCAGCTCATACTAAAATAGATTATAACTGTTTTGAGACTTGAAATGACCTTTGGATTTTCAACTTTCTGTAGGAAGAAGGCAGAGAAGCCTGGCCAGCTCCCAAAGAGGACTCAGTGTCCTTTACAAAAAATGCCTTAGGAGAATAATGGAAAAGGAGAGTCCTCCCAGAGGACAGAGCCAAGAGCTAAGCAGAACAATAGATTGGGTGTTATTGTTCTGGGTCCAGAATCAAGACCTAACCAAGGAACATTTCCGTCCTTATTGTAGGTAGCCACGCAACATCTGCTCAGGGGACTTTCAGAATTGCTGTGGACAAGTGACCTCTGTGTGCCTCTTATTCTTCCACCCTCTGAATGGGAGTGTTTGTTTCAGCTATCCTGCTTTGCCATGGTACCTTGGGCACGTGAGGGGCCAATAACTTGTCTTTTTGATCCTTAGGTTTTACTCTCCAGAGAATGAATGTCAGGGCCTGATGAAGATAATTCCATGAGATCATGGAATTCCAGACTGATACTGTAACCGAATGCAATCTTCAGGTTGTTTTCCTTGAGTAGTGTTGCCAGATTTTGTAAGTAAAAATATAGGGTGCCCAGTTAAAATTGAATTTCAAATAAACAATGGATAATTTTTTAAAGATAATTATATTCCACTGTACAATATTTTGGACATACTTATCCTTAAAAAATTATCTATTGTTTATCCAAAATTCAATTTAACTGGGCACCCTGCATTTAGTCTGGCATCCCAGTGGAAAAGGGTAGGTGTATTTTGCTTACACAAAGAGGGAAGTGAGCAATTCATGATGAACAATTCTGGCAGATTGTACTATTTATTCAAAACTATTTGTTTTCTCTCCTTATGTATTGCCTGCCTGGTGCCCTCCCTGTGAGAAGATGTTCTTCCTGATCCATTGACATTGGGCTTAGCCATGTTTCTGGATTTGGTCAAATGAATATGAGTGAAAATGATATTTGCTGGTTCCAGGTAAAAACTTCAAGCACCTTCATCTGATTCTGACATTTCTCTTGAGCCTCTAGCATGATGCCCCCCTGGAAGGTTGTTCCTTCAGTAGATCCTGGAGCCAAGAGAACATGGAGCAGAGCTGCACCTGCCCTTAAAGGATATGCACACACACCAGAAATGGACCACGAGTGCTGTAAGCCGTAGAGCTTTGGGGGTTCTCACTGCAGCATAATTTAGTCTAAACTGACGGATACAACAAGTTCCTATATATAACATAAATGTATGCGATTTGAGCATCTGGGTGGCTTTCATCATAAAATTAAATCACATTCTAAGTGAAAAAAACACAGAGACAGTAAAAATCATACTTAAGAAAGATTTAAATGTTTGAAGTTCTGTTTTTAAAAAAGGATAAACTTAGGGTGGGAATAGGATATTTTTATTAAAAACAACATATTCTTTTATTTCTTAATAAGATTTTCTTACAATATCAAAATTTTAAATTGATAATTTTTATATTGGGAACAAATAAAAATGCACCTAAATCTTAGCGTTAGTGTCCAAAGAAAGTGATATATTTTCTTTTCTCTGTTCCTTTGATCATAATGCATAGCATTGCTTATTTGTAGACTCAAATTAGTTTTATGCATTCATTTATTCAACATGGCATGCTTCTAGATGTGTAAGGGCTAGGAAAATGTAACCCATCAATATGTACCTGGCATTCTGACTAAGAGGTAGAGTTATGTTGCAGAAGCACTGTAGTTTGGAGCCAAACTGACCTGGGTAACAATCCTGACCCAACTCCATCCTTACTATATGACTTTGGGCAAGTTTCTTAACCTCTCTGAGCCTGAGCTTTCTTATCTGCAATGAATAATAAAATGATAATACTACTGCTATGCAGTCTTTACTATTTGCCAATATACTTAGGTGCTCTGCATATATTATTTTCTTGAAGCCTCACAACATGGAATGATGTAAATATTTTTATCTTCATTTTACAGATGAGAAAAGGGAGGCCTGGTGATGTGACACAACTGACTAGAAGTTGCTTAGTAGGAACAAAGTGGCAGAACCAGGGTCCCTACCTAGTTCTGCCTCACTGAAAACCTATGCTCTTCTGTTGGGAAAGCTAAGTGAAAGCATGCCCAACATCATTCATCATTAGAGAAATACAAATCAAAACCACAATAAGATGCCACTTCACACCCACTATGATGGCTAAAATAAAAAGGCAGATAATTTGAAGTGTTGGCAAGGATGTGGAGAAATTGGAACCCTCATATACTGCTGGCGAGAATATAAAATGGTGAAACTACTTTGGAAAATGGTCTCGTAGTTCCTCAGTTTTAAACATAGAGTTACTATATGACCCAGTGATTCCATGCGTAAGTATATGCCCAAGAAAAATGAAAATGTGTCTACACAGAAGCTTGTGTGTGAATGTTTATAGAAGCATTATTATTAATAGGTGGGAACAACTCAAATGTATATGAACTGGAGAGTGAGATAAACAAAATATGATGCATCCATACAATGAAATATTATTCAGTCACAAAAAGAAGTGAAGTTCTGATATATGCTGCAATGTGGATGAGCCTTGAAAACATTATACTAAGTGAAAGAAATAAGTCACAAAAGACCACATATCATTTTTATGAACTGTCTAGAATAGGGAAATCTGTTGAGACCAAGAGCTGATAGTGGTGGTTGGGGATGGGGGTAAGGGGAGGGGTGGAGAGGAGAAACCATCCAAAAGGGTTTCTTTTGGAGCTGATAAAAATGTTCTAAATTTGACCATAGTGATGGTTACATATATCTGTGAATATACAAAAAAACCCATTAAATTATAAACTTCAAATAGGTGAATTGTATCATATGTGAATTGTATCTCAATAAAGCCATTTAAAAAGAGTATCTGCAAATCCCAGGATAATCCCCTGCAGAGTGCAGAGTTTATGAAACAAATGGTTCTCTTTCCTCACCCTTTCCTGTCTTTCCTTCTCATTCTCCTTCTCTCTGTGATTTCCAAAGCTGTTCATAGGAAATAACATAAGGTAGGAATCAGAAGCCTTAGATACTAGGTCCAAATGTATGAGATTTTGTAAATTCAATCAATCAATCAATCAATCAATCAATAATCTCTAAAAGCCTCCATTTCCTTATCTCCAGGTGGGGATAATAACCCCATCTTTTCCTACTGCGCCTGGTTGTCTTGAAGATCAAATGAGAGAAAGGTTATGGAAATTCTTTATATATGTTATAAAAATTGTATGCAGTTGCCATGGTCTGAATGAGTGTGTACTCCTGAAATCCATATGTTGAAACCTAATCACCAATGTGATGGTGTTTGGAGGTGGGGCCTTTGGAAGGTGATTAGATCATGAGATCAGAGCCCTCGTGATTGGGATCAGAGCCCTCATAAAAGGGGTCCCAGAGAGAGCTAGCTTGCCCCTTCCACCACGTAAGGACACAAAGAGATGGCACCAGCTATGAGTCAGGTAACAGGCCCTTACCAGACACCAAATATGCCAGCACCTTGGTCTTGGACTTCCTAACCTCTAAACCTGCCGTTTATTAGCGACCCAGTTTGTGGTATTTTCTTATAGCAGCCTAAACTGACTAAAATACTTTGCAATATGACAATACTCTACTATTATTACTACTGCTATTAATACTGACACTATTGATACCTCACATTTATGGAGGTCTTATTATGTTTCAGATACAGTTCTAAGTGTTTTCATCAGTAACCCTTATAAGAACCTATTTTAAATTTAACAAAAGCAATGAAGCACTTTCCTTGGTTTTTAGTGAGGAGTGTTAGTTAATTAGGGGTAAACATATGAAATGGTTTTATTTTTCCAATAGTTTCTGCTCTCCTTGTTTTGTTACCCATAGCAGCCTTGGTTTCAATCCCTTAACTTTTCTGTTGTTTTTGGTCAACAGAACAGTTGCCTCTGGTTCCTCTGTTTAAGATTTTGACTCTCTCCACTCCTGCCAAGACAGGTGGAAATTGTGGCACCAGAACTTCAAGTGTCAGAGTGGGCCTGGTCAGTACTTGTCTCTATCCAAGAGAAAGAGAGGAAATACACATGAGAAAGAAGGAAATACACATGCTCCTTCATGTCACTGTCCATGTACAGTTGCTGTCATCTCCTTGAGTGGCCATAACTTCTGTTCTTGTTTGCTGAGCTCCTTGGGGGCAGAGGTGCCTTTGGTGGGCTCCCTGACCGGGACCTGACTCTGGGGGCCCCTAGCAGGAGGCACCATGCACATTCCTCCAACACGTGGGCCTCCTTACCCCTATGCTGCGGTGGTCCCTAGAGATACCATTGGTCCAACAATACTCCATTTCCCAGCCCTTCAACTTCACAGGGCTAAAAATCCCCTGGGGATGCCACTCCTGTGGGCCTTGGGAATTGCAACTTGAGGGCCCTCCTGTCCTGGTCATTGTCATCTACACCACCTCTTTGTGCCATCTCCTGACCCCATTCTCCAACTCCCAAAAGATGACCACTGCTCACCAGTCTCCAGGTCAGTGGAGTGTGTGTATGGAGGGGGTACAGGAGGGATGGTGAAGCATCTCCAAGCTGTACAAGTTGTTTCCTTGAATTTAGAGAAGAAAACCCTTGGGAAGCACCCACCAGCCCCTCATAGAGTTTCCACCAGAAGTAACCACTTACTTCTCCCAAGCCTTCTCTTCTGTGTCTGTGAGGGCAGGGACGCTGGTTTTGCTGAAATGACTCTACTGAGCAAGGCCTGTAGGGGTGGGAGGGCAGGGAGCAAAGGGAGAAAGGGAAGCAATTGGTCCTTTCTGTTACCAGTTCTCTGGGCTGAGAATGTGGGGTGCTAAGGACCTGTTGTTCTCAGCTGTGGGCCTAAAGGAGCAAAAGTAGGATCCCCCTAGTACCTGATACCCTGTTACACAGAGGTATGACTAGCTCCAATCTGAGGCAGTATCCAGTGAGAAAGACCAGCTCGGGGATGGCACACTCACCACCGGGGACAACGAGGGTCAGCCCTAGCATTGAGGCATGCATCTGGGAACCACCCTCCTCTCTGCTCCCACAACACCCTACAGGTTCTTCTGTTACAATTGGTCAGGACCATTCATTTGGCTACCTGTCTTCCCCACCGGAGGATGAGCACCTTGTAGGACATGACTGCATTTTTGTCCTCATCTGCTGCTATGGTTTGGATGTGAGTTTTCCCTGCCAAAACTCATGTTGCGATTTAATTGCCAATGTAATGGTGTTGGGAGTTGGGGCCTTTAAGAGGTAATTAGATCGTTAAGATAGATAATGTCTTTCTGGAGAGACTTGGTCATGCCTGCTCCCCTTCTACTTTCCACCATAAGCGGAAGCAGCTCAAGGTCTTCACTAGAGGGCTTCCTGATCTCGTACTTCCCAGCCTGCAGGACTGTGAGCTAAATAAGGCTCCTTTTCTTCATAAATTACCCAGTCTTAAGTATTCTGTTATAGCAACACAAAACAGATTAAGGCATCTGTATTCCCAGGACCTGGGACAGCACCTGGTATATGGTAGGTTCTCAGCAAATGCTATCTAGAATCTTCGGGAATTTTGGAGAATAAAAAGAAAACTAGAAAAAATGGGGGTGGGAGATGTTCCAATTAAAAATATTTCAGACAAATTCTACAAACCAGGGTGGGTTTCAAACAACAGTGAATCATGAGCATGCTTTTGGGGAAAAATTTCACACAGCCGAGGCAGCTGTTTCTCACCCTAGAGGAACTGGGGCAGTGTGAGGCATAACCTAAGTGCAAATAGTTTGCTCTGACTCCTTCAACTTCAAAACAGTTCCTTTTCTGGTTTGAAAACTATAGGACTCTCTTTTTGAACAACTTGGGATTTTGTTTGTTTCATATTGGGGGGCAGACCTCAATTTTTAAAAAATTAATTTTGAACTCTAGATTTTGTTTTTAAAAAGCATTTATCAGTTATTTTTCATTATGAATATTTGAAGACACTAATGTAAAGAGACCTGTCTTAATTTCAGTGCTATCATAACCATATTCTTCTTGTCTGTAAGATCTTTGAACTAATTATTCTAGCCACAGAAGCTTGCTAATATACAATGCGGTTGCCCATGATGACTTGCTCACCTGCCCAGATTTGTAGCCTGCACATTTTTATGTAAATAGAATAGTTGATTTCAAGACTTATTTTTAAAATAGACATACTCTATTGTCCTGAAAACAATGACTATGACAACAACAAAGCTTCCTAGGATTTAAGTATTTGCAAACTGCACAGAATGCTGAAAGCTGAGTCTGGCTCTCATTCTGGGGTTGATCAGCTACGAAGGGGAGATGCTGGGATTTCTGGCAGCCATCTCCTCCACCACATGGTGAGAATCTACATGGAGAATGAAGCCAAAGAAAATCGAGAGAGACACAGCCCTGATAGAAGTCTAGGAGCTCCCAGATCCAATGTAAATGGAGCCAAATTAAGACAAACAGAGCTGAGAGATCAGAGGGAGACATCCCTGATCATTCCATTGGAATTCGTATTTCTAGCCATGCTTGAAGTTATTGCACCCTGGTTTCCCCATTTTCTTAGTTATCAGAGAAGTAAATTCTCCTTTCCTCTTTTGTTTGGGCTTTAACTAGTTTGATTTGGGATTCAATCACCTGTAACTAAAAGCATTTTCTGTAATAAACTGCATCACAGGGTTATTGGCAGGATAAATTGAGATTGTATACATAAAGCATTTCTTGGCACATGGTAAGTGTTCAATAAATATAAATTTTTATAAAATCTCTTATAAGTTGAGAATAGCTCTTGTAACTAACACGAGCCAGAGAGCAGATAAGAAGCAATGAAGATACCACAGTTAAAAAGTTTAACGCTCATAATCTCAGAAAATGGAAATGACCTTGGATTGAGGCAGTGTGGAGTGGTGGATAGAACTTGGGGAGTGGAATCAAGGTTGGGTTTGAAATCCAGCTCTGCCACTTGACTAGCTGAATGACCTTGAGCAAATTGATGACAGTTATGGGCCTTGGCTCCCTCATCTATAAAATGGGGATCATATTATCTCCTTGTAAGGATTAAAATAAACAATCAAGCATGTCACATAATTCTTGGCACCTAGATGTTCAGTAAATGCTGGCTGCCTCTGTCTACCCTCAAGTACCTGCCACCACCGCTACTGCAGGCTGGCCCCACTTACAGAATGGAATTTTATT